CTCCGGCACAGCGCATGCACCACATGCCCAGGGCCAGGCCAGCCCCGAGCTCTTGGCGGGCGGACAAAAATGGCCCCGCGGGCGCCAGGACCACTGTTCTAGAGACCGACCACTAGCTGAGTTTCTTAGAAGCAGCACCCGATTTCCACACCCTTTAAATATGAGCATGTCTAGTCAGAAAAATTAACATTTGTCTTCCAGACATATACTACTCCTGAAAAACGAATACAGAAGATGTTTATGCCATACTAGCTTCTTGGTAAGCAGAAGACCTGAGAAGCATGGCCTTTCCCCTCTCCCCATCACCGACCACTAGCTGAGTTTCTTAGAAGCAGCACCCGATTTCCACACCCTTTAAATATGAGCATGTCTAGTCAGAAAAATTAACATTTGTCTTCCAGACATATACTACTCCTGAAAAACGAATACAGAAGATGTTTATGCCATACTAGCTTCTTGGTAAGCAGAAGACCTGAGAAGCATGGCCTTTCCCCTCTCCCCATCTCTGAGAACTAAGCTTACGACTTGCCTTGTACACAGACATATACACTTTGACTAATTTACCTCGCAGCAGAGCTGAAGACCACAGTTGCACAGACATATCTGGGATCTTGCTAGCAAGTTGCATGGCTGGTACCACCATGTTATTACTTTCCTAGTCAAGAAAACATAATAAGAGTCACTCGTTTTGGCCATATATGTTTTTCTTTAAAATATAAAAATATTCCATACAAATGCAGAGTTTGTACAAGTAGTTACACAATGGAATGGTAACCTCCATGGTATTCACTGAGAGTATCTATCTTAACTTATCTATTCTTATACATTAGGTAAAATCGGCTGAGGGCAATTTTTAACTATGCAGTAACATTTGTGGGCTATTAGAAACCATTTAATGTGAGATTATATTCCTCTATATAAATTTCAGTTCATTCCACATTACTGGATTTGCTACAGCAAACTAAATCCAAGCATTTATTTAGCATATATCAGGATTTATTTAGAAAAGTCTACAAAACACCTCAACAGACGGCAGATACATTATGTGGGAAATGACATATTGAACTGCTTTAAGACTGACACAGGCAGAGCACGTGACCTATTAAGGATTTTGTTTCAATACGTGAATCACCAATATTTACAAGTATTAAGTTGTTGCTGAAATTGAAACAACTTTGGTAACAGAATGGCTGCCATGTTCCAACTAAGTGGCGGCTGTGTTTCTGTGGTAGGCCAAGAACTATAAAGTCGTCTTTGACCTTTCTGCACAATAGGAATTACAGTACACTGACAGGGCACATCATGGAAAGTATTGCATAAATCAGCTTGCCACAGCATGAGGACGAAAACAAGATCTGCATTGAGAATCCTTTCCAAAACAATCCAGTTTAAGCCATTTCTCATTTACTTCGATCTTTTCAAAGTGATTTTCAACACTACGAAAATATAATCTTCTGAAACAGATTGCAAGTGTCACTGCTTTGTCCACATACCATTAAACGTGTGCTAATCAGAAACTGAAAAGTCAATACGCTGCCAGCTTTAGGTGAAATACTGCCGTATGTGGAGCTCTTAAGACAGAGTGTACAAAACCCACTGATTTTCTGGCAAACAGCAAGTAAAACAAGGGTTGCCAGTAGTAATACTGAAGAGTATAAAGGCTTACCCTGTGATTCCCTAATACATAGAATATATGACCCAGGAGCACAAGAGAACATGCTGTTAATCGGTTCAAGTCTTCTGCATTTGACATTTTCAGTGTCTCTCGCAAAAATCGTCTATCAAAACAGAACAAAAATATTCTATAAAATACTTTATTTCCTTCTAATATGGACAAAACATGTAATAACCATAACTCAGAACAGAAAGACTAACTGGGCAAGTCAAGGGGCAAATACCAGGAGTCAGAAGACTTAGGTTCTACTCCCAGGCTCTGTCACCAGCCTTTTAGGAAAGCTTGGGCAAGCCACTCCCCTCTCTGCCTCTGTTTTCCTAACCATAAAATAGGGATAACAACAGTCAACTAGAAAGCACGGAGATCTGTCGATGAGGAGTGCTTGAAATCCTACTACTAACAATATCGAAGCTGCAGATAGAAGAAATCTCAAGAGGACTTTCTATAAACTGTCTATCCTAGTTAGTCAAACAGCAATATTACATCAGCCTGGCTATATTCAAGGGGAGAAGAATTCTGGTAGGGTAGGAAGAGGTCTCAATTTCCCCCTTTCGCTCACCCCTTCCAAATACTGACTTTGCACTCACTTTGCTTCATTGTATCTTCCTTGGAAGAAAGAGAAAAGTCCTCGGATGTAGAACGCAGCTGCTCGGAGACAGTGAGAACTGGGGACAAAGTAATACATTTAAGTCCTGGAGTTATGCATATAATTATTGTAAAATATAGGATTACATTCCTGGAATGTATTTTCCAAGATTTCATTATGAAATCAATGTCATTTAAGGCACAGTAAGCATCCCTTTCCTTAACATCAAAAGCTGATCATTTGCATTTCACACTATGCTTTATCTCCTCTCCCACACCCCATAAATCATTTTACAAGTCAAAAGCCATAAACAGACCTTTGCAAAAAAAAGTATGTATTCAGAATCCTTACCTAACAGGAAAGTTGTGGTCTGGATTTATCCTTTCCAATAAACTGTAAAGCTACAGACAAGAAGCAAAAATGGAAAAGTGTCTCTAGTAAGTACTAGCTTACGATACGGGATACAAATGTTTTAATGTGAGTATCACAAAGCAAAATGCTGCAAGTTACACAAAAACCATAGCAAACATCTGTTGTTACTGGACAGAACACAAAACATTCCAACATTGAAAGGGCATTAGCAGCTCAATTTTGGCCCTTAAAACCAGGTTTATAACAGAACAATTTAAGACTTCCTAAGTGTCAGAATGAAACTTCAAATTCCACTGGAAAGACTTTTAGTGGGAACCTATCTGACCAGAGTGTTTGCGTTCCAAAAGCTGAGTCATTTTGCTAATCAATGAGAACCACAATCTGACATTAGTTTTGATTCCTCCAAGCTTCCCTTTTGAACATGTTTCACGCTTTTGCTTGGTGAAACTGACAATGTACAATCTGTCCACAAGAGACTTTGCACAACTTGAAAAGTAGCTAAAGAAACCACTATTCAGTGCTACATACAGAGAATACACAAATGCTGCTGTACAAATGACACACTTGAAATTTGGAGTAAATTGCTTGGGAAGAGGGTGCTCTATGGTGAATAACTAATACCTGCAACTGTCCAATTCCAAACACCTGATAATCATTTAATACTGAACTCCACAGACTACAGATATCATCCTTACAGAAAGAAACTGAAAGACAACTTGAGCAGCTCAAGATCACAGAATGAGTCAGTGAAGGGCCTGAGATCAGAACTCAAGTTTTTGAGGCCCACTGCTGTGTTCAGACATTTGAGCCACACCTCTTTGAAGGATTCAAAATGCTCTTTTAATGGTCTGCACTGGGCCAATATTATTAATAAATGACATGTATTGATCAGATGGGTAGTTACCCAACAAAGCACTCCTTGTGGCAAAGCATTCCAAGAACAAATTAAAGTGCTAACCTCACTTTTTTCCCCCTTGCAAATGTGCACCTTGGAAAGCCAAGGATCAGAAGTCACATACCTCTTGATGCCTGTTGCCTTCCCTGATGTACACGCTGGCCAGGTTTGTCACAATAAATGCCCACAATTCCTGATGTGTGGTAAGCTAAAAGAGTAGAATAGAAAACCAGAGGTGGCTCGAGCAGTGGCAGTTTTCCAAGCAGTAGGTTCACAACTTTCACGAGAAAGAAGCCCAACCTAAAGCTATCTAGACATTCAAAAATGCTTTCATACACAGAACTCGTTTCTGAGAAGCTGTTAAATCCAACAGCGCTCTGTAAAAGTCTCTAAAGCAACATATATGGCAGTTAGAATTTAATATAAAGCATTCCTGTGGTGAAGCTTTGTTTTGCTTCATTATTCCAAGCTTAATAATGTGCTGTTTCATCTTAGTTACTCTCATCTCTTCCTAATAAAGTGCTCTAAATTTGTGAAGACAGAATTGCTAAGCCAGACCTTTGAGCACAGTGTCCTTTGATACTGCCCCAACTAGTATATGTGAACCCACTCTAGTAAAGAGGCTGTTGTGAGCACCTACAATTATATTAAAGCACTGAGGCTCTGCACCCCTCCATCCCCCAAATTTGAATCCTCCTCTTCTCAACTAGAGATGTTAGATAGCAGGTAACAGAATAGTCGACTAGCTGCATGAATTCCTAGTGGTCAGTTGACTATTCTATAATCACCAGGGGTGGGACTGGCAGCGCTCTCCGGCCCCACTCTCAGGGAGCTCCCTGACACCCCACGCTGCTGCCTTTGTATCAGAGGAAGCATCGCAGGGTGCCAGATGGGAGCCTATCTGTGACGGGAGCCAGTTTAAAAGAAACCCAGCTCCCTTTGTGGATCAGCTGCCTGCTGCACCGTGCTACTGCTTCTGATATAGAAGCAGCAGCACAGGGTGGCAGCAGCCTCTGTCCATGGAGGGGAGGGAGGGGGTGTCCTGTCCATGAGGGAACAGGGGAAGCTGTTGCAAAGCAGCCTCTTGTCTGTGGGGAGCTCAGACCCTCCAGGGACCAACCTCTGTCCACGGTAAGCCGGCTCCCCTCCACCTTGCTGCCTCTGATACAGAGGCAGTGGGCGGGGGAGGGGAAATGCAAATATTTGACTAGATTAACCGATAAGCCTAGGCTTATCGGTTAATCATCTAATTGACGACGGATGGACATCCCTACTCTCAACAGGAACATTGGAATGATCCATTCAGATATTTCATGGGATAGTCCACAAAGACAGCTTTGCCTTACCTAAGGAGATATAAAGCAATGCCCTTGGCTGCTTCATAAAAGGTTACTAAAGGACAGATAGTAGAAGTTGAAAGTAAGTCTATTCTGTACTACATCTAAATTTAACAGAGCTACAGCAAGAAGATTTAGCCTTAAATCTTACCCTCAATGCTACCCATGGCTGCTTCATAAAAGATTACTAAAGGACAGATAGAAGTCTATTCTGTACTACATATAAATTTAACAGAGCTACAACAAGAAGTTTTAGCCTTAAATCTTACCCTCAATGCTGTAGTAAACTGTGCTTCTGCATTGTCCATGCAATTAACAGAAATGCAGTAAAGCCCCTGTAAAAGAAAGTATGTTGTAAATAAGCATTCTAGTAACTGTATTGAAATAAGTAAAGGAGATAGCTGTAAGTTTGATCCCCTAAATCCTGGCATTAAGAGGCATTAACAGGAAAATTATTTAATACGTGTTATGCCCAACATAAAAAAGCCTCGGTTTTGTTTGATTCACTGGAGTAATTCCTATACTAGTAATTTCTCACCACATTATTGTAAAGGTCATTTCTTCTTAAAATCTGTTTCATGTAACATTAAAAATACAAATTCTAGATACAGTGAATTCTCTGGTGTTTATTCTGTTACCAAAACGCATATATTATACCTTGTGGATGTTCACTTGCAAAGCTCCCATAATTAAAATGTACCATATTTAAAGGTGGAGAATTTTAAACATTTAACAATTCTACAGCTATTACAACATGCTTAGATTGATGAAATTTACAACAGTTTTAATAATTGTATATATGTTGGTGAAACTGTAAAAGCTCGCTGAGGTGTATGTTACACGCAGTTATCTGTAATTATTCAAGTGGAACTCTAGGTATGGTGCCACGTACAGGCAAAAATTCAACAGTAATAGTGTGTACTCACTAGGAGAGTATGTAGTTGTGCAGCATGATTAGAAAACAGTCTGGGAGACTGTTGGCAGAGTTGACAGACTTGTGAGATCTGTTAGGAAAAAAGATTAAAATACTCATTTATTTATTATGTCTAGGCTGACCCTGTCCCCACATCCCAACAGCCTGAACTGTAACAGCTAGTTTATTATTGCACTTTGCTCAAAACTAAATTAAGCTACACCTTGCACCTTTAAAGCAGAGCCTCCAGACACACCGCAAACTAAGCTGTACATAGAACAGTGTGTGTACACTCTTCTCCATACTGGGATGTGTGCACCAGTTAGCTTTCAGAATTATTTACATTATTGTAGCTTCTATCATGTACTAGGCACTATCCACTTCACGAAGAGCTCACAATCCAAGACAACATGAAACAGACAAGAGATTGAAAAGAGGAACAACATTTTCAAAGAGTTTTTAAAAAAGAAAAACCATGAACAATCACCAAATGCTCCTTTATTTAGGATCTATTGCTTGGCTAATATATTCTAAGCACTGTGGTAGGGAGTGTTAAGATTTGAAAAGTCAGTGGACCAATTCAGAAAGCAAGTTCCATAAACAGGGAATGGTATGGAAGAAAATGCACACATTTGGGGGAGGACTAGACACAAGGGAAGCGGAGACCGGCACTAGCATCAGTGAGGAGGAAGGAAGAGATAACATAAGTGGGTTTTGCCCATGAGAGCTCTGATACTATATACTTCTGTTAGCCCCTAAGGCGCCACAGAACTACTTGTTTTTAATGGTAAGTAGGGAGAGGGCGAGTTGTGAGGGGCTGAGAAAACCAGGCAATATGCTTGACTTGATCCATATAGAGAATGAGGAACCAATGGATGGATTCAAAAGGGGGGTGACATGGTCAGAGGAACAAATAAGGAAAATTAATCTTCAGCTGCATTTTTTATGACTCTCAGGATGAAGAGGAGAGCCTGGATGACAGTTTTAGCTGTATGGATAGAAAGAAACAGTTCGATCTTACATATGCAATGGCTGAAGTGTCACGTATGGAAATTAGCAGAAGAGTTGAAGACAACTCTAGTCATGGGTCTAAGTGAAGGAAGTATGACAGCATAGTTAAGAGTGGCAGAAAAGAAAACAAGGAACAATGGAACTCCTTTCTGGCCGGATACATTAACAAGTTACATGATTTTAAAACCCCATGAGTAAAATCTCTGAAGTGCTCTCAAATGAGGCAGGAAAAGTAGTTTAATTTCAAGGCTTAAGAACCTTGCCGGTGTCTTAAGGATTCTCAGATACTGCTATACATGTTAGTAGTTACATTGAGACTACTGGGATTCCAGCAAGAGTTTGAACATGTTATTAGGAAATTAAATTTCCATATTTTTAAACTAACATTTATTGCAAGGATTCATGAATATTCAAAGGATTAAGCAAGCATGGAAGTGATCAAAAGACAATTTTACCTCCTGCAGTGCTGTCGCTTTGTGGCCTGTTACAAGCCGACACATGATAATATGTTCCAACAAAATAACTTGGAAAGATGACAAAATAGGACTGCAGTCCAACACTAAAGAGAGAAGCAAGGGTAGTTCAGGAAATAAAGTTATATAGCACTGTAATATCCTACCCCACAGTCTAGGTCCTAGGTAACTACTACAAAAGTTGGCTTCCCTCATGCCAATGGTTCAACAGAACTTCAGCACAAAGGGCTCTGAACAGAAGTCTATATGAACTATGCAGCACTGGAGATGCCAGCTTGCTTCCCATTACTGTTTCAGTTGCCACTTGGGGAAGTGAGCTTATTATTAAAATGAGACTTGTCCTTGGAGCAGGGAAGAATGGCGGTCCAAGTTTCACTTAGCTGAACCCTGGGGAATGTGACTTTGTTTCCAATTCATGAATAGTCCAGAGATTTGAATTGCCAAGATTCTACAAAGCAGTTTAAGAATTGCAAGGAACAGATACAATTAATCTTTTTGTATTCCTATAACTTGGTAGGCTAACCAGTAAATATGCATAGGGAAGAATTCCCATTCTGGACTCAGATTAAAAAAAAAAGTTTCAGACCAGAGCAAAATTCTTACAACTAAGCACTAAATCCTCAGACACAGGCTTATAGGAGTAACCCTCAACAGATCGATATAATTACCAACACATGTTCTAACAAGCAGATTGCATTTTTTTGTATTTCTATGTCAGCATCAGATGACATAGAACCTTCAACTCAGCAATAGTTTTAAACCCTCTCCCCCCATACTCACTTTTTAGCTTTTCTAGCTGCATGAGTGCTTTGTCTGTGTACTTCTGTGCCTTCTCCAGATACCCTGCTTGCATGGAATGCATCACTGTCACCTGCCACAGAACATAAGACAGGAAAAAATAGGGTCTGAAAGTCTAGAGCCATACCCACCAGAAACCAGATTTGAGAGCACTAAATTCATGTTTACTTGCGACTCTGGATGCAAAAGGCTATTACATTAAAAAACAAACACACACACACACACACACACACATTACAACAGGATGGAGGACAGCAAGCTCTCCTAGCCAACTCTTTCAAGACCATGCATGCAATCTGAGGATGGAGGATAGCAAGCTCTCCTAGCCAACTCTTTCAAGACCATGCATGCAATCTGTTGGGTGTTGTAAGCCACATAAGTCACTATATCTGACCGAAGTAAGTTTGAACTTGGGAGATAAACTGCATTTTTTTGATCCCTGTGGAGAGCAAGGGTCAAGGTTTAGAAAAGAAGAGCTTCTACATGTAGGAGGGCAGAAGTAATGTGCATTCACTCCATACCTTATAATTTCATTCATAACTTTATATATATGAAAGTTTGTGTGTCTCTGACCATGAGTCCATTTGTTCAAGAACGCCTCCTAAACAGTAGGAGCTGACACCAAATTTGGTATGCAACTTCCTCTTATCCTAACTTAAAATAAGGTCAGGGTTTGGTTGTGTCAGGACAACAGGATACGCCTGGAATCTGATTTCCGTAACATGGAAAGTCAAGGGGCTGAGAACAGGAACGGCTATGCTCTGCAATGACCACTGGGGGGCAGTGTGCACAGGGGGCATTATACAGCAGAGTAATCAAAGGGACCAGAAAGGGAGTGGCCAAAGCTCTACATATTGCCAGCCACTGGACAAGGGTAAATGGCCTTGTTGCCCTCAAACTCCTCTCCCCACCGGCCCATGGTCCCTATGCCAGATGAGGGAGCGATCCTGCCACCCCCTCCCGGGAGCACTATAGGGGCTGACCAGCGTAGCCCCACTCCCCTCAAGGAGCTGTCAGGAGCACCCCCTCCCAAGTGCCTGCTCTGGCAAGGCTGGGGGCCATCCTCACCACCACAGGTAGCCCCAGTCAGCCCTCCCAGGCCTCTTCCCTGAGCCTGTTTGCCTTGAGCCCCCACACCCTTCCTGCACCCCTCCTCTGAGCCCACCCACCTAATCCCCCACCCTACTTGCACCCCCCATTACCTGCATTGAGCTGCCCTGACTCCCACACACACACACCCCAGCCTCCTACTCTCAAGCATTAGAGCAACATTAGTTGAGTCCTCTAGTGATAAATACCACAACCATTTAAAGAATTAAAGTGCCTGAACCCTGTATCATGCTCTGGATAGGAGGTCCAGCCACACATGAAATGAGCATACTTATCCTGCATCTCAACAGCGAACAGCTGCGTAAGCGAAACCAAACTTCTTACCAGGTAGACTAGCACACACATATGCTCCTTCGGCAGCCAGTGAAAGAGATCTGCTGGATTGCTGGGTAGAATCTCATCGTCATGAAGAGTCGAGATGGTCTGAATGCACTGCTGGAGCTGCTTCAGACATGGCTTCACACTTTTTACCTGGAAATATTGATTCACATCAGATACAGACCATGCCACCTGGGACAACAGCTGAGTATTCATATAGTTCAGTAGACATGCCAGACGGATAACAGTCCTTGCCTTTAAGAGTTCAGTCTACTGTAAGGCATAAGCTGATACATCCCTACTGAAATTATTGTAAGCGAGTACTCTACTACTGGATAAGCCTAGACTTATTGGGTAGTGGAATCAACTACTAGCATTCCCCCACTGCTGCCTCTGTATCAGAGACAGCAAGGAGGGAGAGAGCAGGAACCAGTGCTGGTGGAGCCGGCTTAAAAGCCAGTTCCCGCCAGCACCGACGCCGCCTGCCTTAACCCTTACTATGTAGAGTGGGGGTGTGGCCCAGGCTGGCCACAGGCAGAGGCTGCTCCAGCAGCAACCCTTATCTGCAGGGAGGCTGGGGCATGCTGCTGCTGGCCAGTCAGTCTCAGCTTAGTCTTGGCTCACGATGGGGCAGGCTACCTAGCTCAGCTGCCCAGCTCCTACAGACTTTTAAATTGCAGAGCCACAGCAGGATTTGATCCTGGACCTAGTACGAGCCAGGACCGAGCCAGGCTGCCTTCCCCTATCAACTAATCGAGCAGTCAATAAAAATTCTATTGACTACTTGATTAGTAAATTAACCTCATTTTAACATCCTTAAATTTCACAACACATTACAACCTTTTGGACAGGAATCCTTCCTGGATTCCCAAAGATACTTCTGCAAAATTACCATTCACGTACCTGCCCAGCATCCAGGTAATGAGTCACCTGCAGCACCAAGAAGAACACACGCAATGATTCCTTCTGGATAGGGTTCCCTTGCCAGTTTTCAACTATCTGTCCACACAGAGTAAGGAGTGGGTGCACTTCCTGCAGTTTCCGTTCCATTAGAAGAAGCTAAAAGAAAAGTATTACATGTATAAACAGTGCAAAACAAACAGCTTAAATGCTCAATAAAGCAGAGTCAAAATTGTCGAGTGTTCTTCCTTTTTCAATATCGGGTCTCCTTTATTTACATCCCTAACTGTGGACGTAAGATGTTAACTTTAAAGGCCCCATTTTAAAAAAAAAACACCACCCTGGTCATTATGTTACTTTCTTCTTGCATCATAAAAGAGCTTCTTCACTGATTATAATCAGCTTCCCTAATCTGAGATATGCCAATAACTAAAGGTGCTTGATTATTTCATTAAACTGCTTGTGTGCTGCAATTAACAGGCAAGACACTGAACTATACAAGACTCCTGCACGCCAAAGAGCAGATTTCAGGAGCATGTCAAACATCAGTTTGCTTTCAGAAACGCTTAGCACAAGGCAGGCATAAGACAAACATTCAAAGCAGACAATTTCAAGACCAATAGCCTTATTCTGCCTCTGATAGGAACAGAAGTAATAGTACTGTAGACACTTGTTATTTGTTACACTTAAATGTATCCAACTTACCATCCCTTTACTTAGCAGAAACAGTGCCCTGAAATAAAACAAAACCGTGTCACAGCTCTAAGAAGGTACAACACTGAAAAAGATACACTCGAGAGAGAAAACTCAGTCAGAGACTACTGCAAATCTTTTCAGCATGCGATATACTCGAGAGAGAAAACTCAGAGTCAGAGACTACTGCAAATCTTTTCAGCATGGACTACACCAGGCCAGAGGGAACAAGCTATTGGGTTGTCCATCACACTTTTATTGCTTAGACTGCCTGGGACCCTGGCTCAAAAATATAGTAGATCCAACTTAGCCCTTCACATTTTTATGGTAAAACAAGTCTACACAGTCTAACACCTACTGGTCTTTCAAATGAGATCTTATGAAAAGAGGTCCTGCCTGCTCCACAAAGTCATCATCCCATGGTCCTATTTATCAAAACACAGTTGTCCTTGGTCAAACTTTGCTTTCCTAATTACTATGCAGCATCTATGCCCTTCACTCCAGTGACTTTAGAGTACCTTTGATGTAAAAAACAATGTAAGAAATTATAAGACAATGGTTGGGTTGACACTTGGTGTCTGACTATAAACCAGACCCCAGAAAACACCTGTTGTCCTCCATCTCCAGGTCTCCACTCAAAACATTTGTAAGGGTATTGCCACAGCTAGAAAAGACAGGATTAAACTTGGAAAAGGGAGTCCAAATCACAGCACCAGCAAATTAAAGAGTCTATACCTAGGCCTTGGCATTTATAGGGGAGCCACAGGCTAAAGCCTGGGAAGAGATGAGTAGATGAGAAGGGCAGACAAAGTTCTGTCGAAGAATAAGGATTTCCAGAGCACTGGTGTATACTGCAGGCGTTTAATTTCTGCTAAAAGCAGCCTTGGATAGGCAAGAGCAAGTGATTCATATTTAAGAGAATCCATGAGAAGTGCTGGTTTGACTACGATGAATTTACAGAAGCTCATTTGCAACCAGCATCTCTATGCAAGTTAGACTCAACTAAAATATTTCCAGGAGAGGTAGGTGAAGGAAACATACCTGGTATATTCTGATCCTACTACCCGAGCATATTCTGCTCCAACTCCTAGAAGGTCACATGCAGATACCAAATCTTTTTCAAGTGTATGTAGTTGCTGAAGAAAAAAAGTTTTCAAGCCAGTATTTTTAATGACAAACTTGCAGTTACTGGTTTTTTGCTCTAGATACTCGTTACAATAATGGAATAGTTTTGCTATGAAATTAAAGCTTGATATGACTACAGCCAGTCCCTGACTTACGAACGCATCAACTTACAACCATCCGCACTGACGACCAACTTCCCATTAACCCCATTATCGACTTACGAACTCATCGACTTACAACCATCCGCACTGACGACCAACCTCCCATTAACCCCATTATAGCCGGTCCTCGACTTACGAATGCACCATCCACACTTGCGAACAGCGCAGCTGTATGTAAAAGCATGTATTTCCGACTTATGAACAAATCGAGTTACGACCAGGTGTTTGGAAAGTAACCCATTCGTAAGTCGGGGACCGGCTGTACTTAATAGAAGTTCTTTAAAATGTCACCTGAACACAACAGGAATTTTCAGGCAACATTTTCTATTGCTCTTCTGGAGGGAAAAAAAACAAAAACAAAAAAAAACAAAAAATTTTCAGGCAACATTTTCTATTGCCCTTCTGGAGGAAAACAAACAAACAAACAAAACACTTCAACATTTCAAAGAAAATCCAATTCAAACTTTTTTTTCCCCTCAACACACTTATTCAAGTTAAAATAAAGCAGAGGTGATCTATTCTACATAGAGCCTATTCGAAACCTAACGCACAGTCAAAATAGCAATGGTTCCTTTGGCAGGGAAGGTACTACCCTGAAGTTCGTAAGTACCACAGAGATTCAAAGCTCCAGGCTATCGAAGACAAATGACGTAGGATTTTTTTGTGACGCATCTTCATTTTCTGAAACTGGAATTGCCCCAATCTCCAGCCAGAAAGCGAATGCAACTCATTGGAATATGCAGCCAAATAAAGAATTCAGGCCTCTATCAGGAAGCAGGAAAGAAACATGCCACAATACCCACAACATAAATGGGTTTGTAGAAAAATCCTTCACAGCAGCAGAATGTACCTGGAGGTTAAGATTCTTGTAAGTACACACAGACATGCGGTATACTAATAGGGAAACACTTGTCCCTTAACTGACAGAAATGAATGGCTCTCAAAATGAGTCATTTTCAAGGAAGTAATTTGTTGCTATTTGCTTCTGCCCATATGGAATGGGGGAAGAGGAGTACAGGAAAATGTTAACAGGCTTCAAGAGAATAGTTTGGCAAGCTCCCTTTGAAAGGAAGTGCCTCTATTTTCCTCAGCTCTTATCAGTCTTCACTGTATTCCACATATCTAACAGGCTGATGAGAAAAGGCACATCTTGGACAAGACACTGCTGAAAATGCTCTCTTGACTGTACAGATCCAGCCAAGTATGACCTGCTTCTCTATTTTGTTATCCTATAAACTCTGCACAAGATGATATACTTCTAATCCAAACAGGGTAGGATACCCTATGGATAGGTTAATTAGTGTCCTCTGGACACATGGACAATAAAAGGACAAGATGTCAAGCACACCTCCTAATTCCAAGATTGCTCGAAGCCTATGCCTAAAAACCAGCACTGCGCTAAACATGCAACTGAAACCATGCCCAAGAGTATTTATGGAACAAGGAGGATAAAACTTCTGATACTGATCTGAGACCTTCACAGTAATTCCACTTTCCAATCCAGTTCTGCTTTGGATGTTAGGGGAAGTGCAGAACAGTGGAACCTGCACTTCTATCACACCATTCCCAGGGTTTTCAGTATCGCCAGGCTTTATGAAGAGATTTTGAAGAGAATTCTTCCAACTTTTCCCAGAATTCAGAGCCCCTGCTAGAGTCTTGAGAATCAACCCTCCTCCCCACACTTTCTTCTTTGTCAGCCACATCACCACCCATACCAGAAAGGAGGCCTGGAAGAGACTCCATTTGAAGTATGTAACAATAGTACACCCTAAAACACTCTCTCCAAATCAGTCTACACACTAGTCCCAGCTATTGGATCAAGAGATAGGCACTCAAAACGGGCTCATTCTGCAGTAGTACAGAAGAATTATCTACTTCACAAAAATCTAAAAATGTACAGCTGCATCATACTTTCTTCCTGCCCACCATCCTTTTGTGCGGATTTATAAGAGACTTTTGAACACTTACTGCAAGCTGAAAAAGGAGTCTACAGTGCCAGTATGGAGTTTGCTGTGAAATCTGGATGGCTTTCCGCAACAAAGGCTTTGCTGCATCAACTGAATTCTGGAATAAAAATACGTACCTTAAAGTCATCAGTAAAACCCACCCATATAACAAAATGTCAGTGCTAAAAGCAGTGAGATTTAATGAAAGAATTTAGTACCTATTTAAAAATCTATGAACAGATAAAAAAGCCTAAAAGAATAAAAACTTACTAAACTGAAAAACAAAAATCTGACAAGGCTGCAAATTTGATCACTCATAACATACTGAACAATATTAGTAAATTAATTCATCTGTACATTCACTTAATCGTAGAATCACAGAACACTAGCACTGGAAGGGACCTCGAGAAGTCATTGAGTCCAGTCCGCCGCACTCATGGCAGGACCAACCACTGTCTAGACCATCCCTGATAAATGTCTATCTAACCTGCTCTTAATTATCTCCACAGATGGAGATTCCACAACCTCCCTAAGCAATTTGTTCCAGTGTTTAACCGTCCTGAATTAGGAAGTTTTTCCTAATGTCCAACCTAAACCTCCCTTGCCGTAGTTTAAGCCCATTGCTTAATCCTTCATATTAGGGATGTAAAATCCCATTTAATTAGTTAACCAGTTAAATATTAAGTTTAACTGGTTAACTGATTAAAAGATGTCAGTTTGGGGGGCTGCTCCAGCCCACTGTTTTGGAGCAGGCCCCCTCCACTCCCCAAGGCCAGGCTGGAGCAGCCCCCCATGCTGCGGACAGGATCTACTCCAGCCCGACTGCTTCCCAGACCACGTCGGCTGGGCGTCAGCAGCCTCGCACGTGGTCAGAAGGAGTAGCGGGGGAAGCCTGCCGGCCCCCAGCCCAGGTTTGGGGATGGGAGCCCAGAGCCAGCAGCCTCGCGGGGCTGGAGCAACTCTCCACCCAGAGCAGGCTGCTCCCAGATAATAGTTCACCATTACCCAGAAAGCAACACCCATCAAGTGCGATGCTTGCCAAGTAACTGTTCACATCCCTACTTCATATGTACACAAAAAATGCATATTCGAGAATGGAAATGGGCATGCAGGCCACTTTAAACATTCAAGGCACATCACAAAAGTATCTCAGGCTAACTTTCTTGGGGTTGCCTATCTTTTTCTCGAGACTGATGGAATAAACAAAACTCACTTTATTACAGAACTTATTAACTGTAACAGCATTTGCAACAAGAATAATGTGATACATTGAAACATCTTGGAACATGCACATTCCTTGTCTATAAAATTAAGCTTCCCTGAGCCATAGATCACCCATAACCAGAAATATGTTGTTATTGATGCACGGACATATTGACATAGGAGTCAAAAACCCTTACCCCTTCCGCAGCCTCCATGCACGCACATATTGACATAGGAGTCAAAAACCCTTACCCCTTCCGCAGCCTCAATGCACTTACCTCTTGACAGTACAGTTCAGACAGAAGGCTTGCGGCTTCAAATTTAACATCTTCAAACTGCGGAATCTAGCAGCATCAGCGTTAAGTAAACAATAAAACGTATTGCAATACACAGCGCTCCACCAATCAAAGCTTAATACGCCACGAGGCGGCTTCAAGATTTGAGAAAGAAGCCTACCGCTAGGAATCCGCTCCCACTACCTACAACATAGCGAAGCCGTCTCACTTGGGCCCGTTTCATTTGGAGACAGAGTTGCTATTAAACCCAAACCACGGAGAGGCGTTTTCAAGCTGCTGACGTTCGACTTTCAGAAGGATACTTGTTGTGAGATCAACCACTGCAAGAGAAGGCGACAATCAGTGCACATGTCAGAGACTGCCCCCCCGGGTCACCTGTTGGCTACAATTTTGGCTGACAGCAGGGTCTCCTCCACCCCTTCAGGGCATGAAATGTTTCAA